TAGGTTTTAAAGGAGAGCTATGGGGTTAAGTCTTTTCCCCATAGTTCTCCTTAGGGTAACGGGAGGACACAAACTAGCGTCCTCCCGTCACCCTAGGCTCAGTATACCGCGAGCCGTAGCTCGCGGTATACTGAGACGCCGCAGAATACCGCAAGCAGCTGCTCGCGGTATACTGGAGACGCCGCAGCTGAAGCGGATCCCGACAATTGAGCCGGGATCCGCCCAGCTGCGTGACTGAAGCTGGCTCTGCCTATCTAGAGGCAGAGCCAGCTGTACCCGCCCCCTCCCCCGTCCGTTCCGCCAGTCAGCGCTGGCGGATCGGAGCGGGGAGGGTGGAATCCAGCCCCTCCTGTCACGGCAGAGAGCCGTGACAGGATGGAGAGGTGAGCGAACGCCGGTATGTGTTCGCTCACCTCCCAATCTACTGAGCCGACCTGTGACAGTCCCATTGTCACAGGTCGGCTAGTACTATGATGTGAGTGAAAAGCACTCACCTCATAGTTCTCCTTTAAATTCTGTCAAGCCGCTTGTTAAATCCTCACCTCTACCAGACAGTATAGACAGAGGGGTGACCCTAACTTCTCTTGTAGACAAATATAGTGGTATCACAAGACAATGAAAAGCACTAATACATGGAGAAGTAACACTGGCCTCTTCTCATGTCAGCACAGAAGACTGAAACTGATCAGCTGCTAGTGGTGCTCCTTCCTCTCTCAAAAGCCCAGTTGGCTTGGGTGTATTAAGCACGTGCCCCAACACACGTTACATATCAAAATTAAGGGCCCGTTCACACCTGATGCGTTGGGGCTCCGCTGAAAAAAATGGCCATTGTAGCATCAGGTATGAACAGGCCCTTAATGTTGATATGTCTAACGTGTGTTGATGCACATATTTATCACACCCAAGCCAACTGGGCTTTTTGCCTTGTTCCTGATGGGCTCTGTTCACACCCACACGTGTGACATTTCAATAAAGTTCTAGGGGGAAAAAAATATTAAAGAGCAATGCCTACTGATTGAGCACATCAGCACCGTGCTTAGCACTCGCACACCAGCAGCATAGGCCGCAGCCCTAAGTCAGATCATTTAATTAAATAGGCGGTCAAATGCACCTCAATAAACCATTGAGGTGCATGGTATAAATGGTATATTTTACATCAGGAGTGGACAATTTAATATGGAATTCAGAAGCCAGTCTATGAGACTAAGGGATTTTTTTTAAGGCGCTAACTCCATTGACAACATCTAGGAAAAAGAAAGAAAAAATAATCTTCAAAGTTAAGCACCAAATTCAATTTTTAAGGAGCATTGGCGACCTGGCTCCTGGAGCTTGCCCCGTTTCATTTCTGTTCAGTCTTTTCTTTTAGTACTTTGCACTTTTCTTATCTACTATTCCACAATTCAAAATTCTTTATTATAGAATGTAGAAGTTTTTCTCTTTTCTGAGTGTAAGGCCCCGTTCACACCTGACCACTTTGTAGCGCGTCCTACGCTCAACGAACGCGCTACAAAACGGTCAAAAAAATAAATAGCATTGTAGTCAATGCCCTCGTTCCCACCTAGGCATATTTCCGCCCGTCCCTAACGCCCTACAAAACGGCCCACGCCTGAAAAGGTCCCGGGACTACTTTGGGCCGTTTTGTGGGGCGTTTTCCATTGGGATACAGCCAAGTAGCCTTTGGAATCGCACAACGGTCGCGCGACTTTTTTACCACGAATCGCGGTAAAAAAACGCGTGACGGTTGTGCAGACGCGCATATTACAATACGCCTAGGTGTGAATGGGGCCTAAGGCAGAAATGCCTTTGTTTTTAAACAGTCACAAGTAACAAGGATGTGTTCTGACAGTATGGCGACATGGCTTTATCTCAAACCCTTTGTATAAGGGCTCTGATCTGACTCAAAGATGTCAAAGCCTCTTCTACAGCACTATTCAGTTTGTCAATATGGCTGGTATCTGGCTGGACAAAGACACTCCTTTAAATATACAATCACAATGCAAAACCTGGCCAGCAAATATTCTCCTTTACAGCTTTCATGGTATGATGCCAAGCACATGAATCCATTTACCCCTTATGACATGCAAACATTTTCCTCCAACTAAAAGCAAAGTACAGTCATAAGACCAGTGGATGCCGCTGCTGGTAGATTCTTATAAAAAGCAAGTTAGCTGTTTCTTATCAGCTACAGCGGCTTCCACACTTTGGGGGTGATTTACTAACCTAAACAGACGCACGCACTAGGTGCGTGGGATTTTTACACAGCAAAACGTATTTCTCAACCAAAAAGTCTCTAAAAACATATTTCCACTAATGCCATATATGGAAAAATCATGCACATGATGCATATATAATGCTGCTTCACAGTTTAGACAAAAATGGTTAGCTCATGCATTTACATTCCTGCATTCATCAACGCAAGCAACACAACGTAGAGCTAATTTACACAACATCACCTTGCAATTCATGCAGGGCTTTGCACAACACACCTGCTGGGTGTGTACACACTACATAGGTGTCTAGATTCCACCAATAGATCATGCTGGGAGGGAACACACTACAGAGGTGTATACCTGTTCGTGGCGTGTTTATAAGGTTAGTAAATCAACCCCTTTAAGTCACTGATCTAGAAGAGGTTGCAGGTCAGGTCTGACTTCAATAGCAATATGCTTGGTCAGTGAAAACGTATTAAAGCCAGACAAGTGACAACTTCACAAGTAATTGATAGACGATGTTGACAATTGCCATGGTTACTTTTTCCATAACGTCCCTCATATCGCTGCCAATCTCTAACAGCCACTTACGGTCAACATGCATTCACCCCAGCAATGGCTTCACATTATTGCTATGGAATGGCTTCTTTAGGATGCAGACACACATGGCGTTCTTGCATTCCTGCAGCAAGAACCTATGGATTTTTGTTACTGTACCCATTGAAGTAAATGACAGCCAGTACATCTGTATATGGGAGTCTGTATGGAATTGTACATAATATGATAACATGTGGTTTGGAATAGATGATTGTCGTTGGACTCATCTATCCTTTATCCAGCAACAATCATCTATTCCAAATGCATTTAATCATACCGTGTACATTTACATCTGGACTGCCACTGACAGATGTGACTGCTGTCACCCCATCAACTACTTCAATGGGTACAGTGGCTGCATCTGAATAGGAATGGCACATCTGGGATCTCTGCTGCAAGAATCCATAGGTTCTTGCTACAGAAGTCCCAGTACATGGCATGAGTACCTATGTGAACGGGACCTTATAGTGAAAAAGGTGGACCATGTCTGCGCAACCACTTGTAGTCTCAACTAGGGGTGCATGTGACTGAGTGACATGGCAGGAGCACAAATGGGACACAATTGTCTACCGATAAGAGTAAGTGCCAAACACCTTCATGGCATCACAGTTGTGACCCCCTGAAAAGGAAGTGCCGTAACAAAGACCTTCATGGCATCACAAGGTATACTTTTAATTTTAAAAAAATTAAACACATTTAGTAATATATTAAATTGTTAATGCTCAACTCCAGGATAGGCAAATACTGTCTAAAGACAAGAGGCATGTGCATTCTTACTTAGCATGTTTTGTGTATTTCTTCCAGATCTGTGCAGTAATCCTGTGTGACCTCCATGCAGGAGCTTCCTGTGAAAAAAGACCAGTCACAGGTAGGTGAACTGGTCTTGTATCCTTCCCCCTCCTATAGCTTTGGCCAGGCAACCTGTAGTGGGTGGAGCTGATGGGCCCCTCCCACAGCTCTGCTCTCTGCAAAGTGATGTCGCTATTTTTACAAGGCAATATCTTAGTTTGTAAAAGCATTTGATGCACAAAGCGTGTATTTTTATCCTTTGTGGCTACTGAGGAATATATCTGAAATAAAGTTTGTGTGAGCAGTTGAGCTTTAAAGCTTCTATGCAATTAGATTGCAATATCTTACGGGTAGGAACCTCCTAACCATCTGGTTTTAAAAATTGTATTGCAATTGTAATGTCTTCCTTAAAAATTGTAAACTGTTGGTGCTATATAAATCCTGTGTGATAAAAGATTTACAGTGATCAGGGTTAGATCTGGCTCCTACTGAAATCTTTTTGAACGACCCAATGTGACATTCTGATGTCAGTAATGGTATGAGTGGCAAAACCTATAAACTGGCTTCCTCTGCATCTTTAATGGGTCCCAACAAGGAAACGCACTTGACTGGAAATACTGAGAATTTGGGACCGTGCCCACAACAACTTGGCATAATGAGATCAATCTAGGACAAAATAGCCGATTTTAAAACAATTCTACAATTCAGCTATGTTGTCCTAGAGCAGTGGTGGCAAACCTTGGTACTCCAGCTGTTCCAAAACTACAAATCCCAGCACGCATCTGCCTCTGGGAGTTATGTCAGTGGCTGTCAGAGCCTTGCAATGCCTCATGGGACTTGTAGTTCCAAAACAGCTGGAGTGCCAAGGTTCGCCACCACTGTCCTAGAGTGTTCACTTCTCCAAACCGTTCAGTGAATAGCCCTGTTAGAATGAGATGAAGTGAGTCCAGGATGCTGTGTCTGTGAGGTGAAAACACACACTGTCATGAGCAGACTTCCAGTAATAAAGTACACAGATCCCGGTGTACACACGGGACGGCAGATCCCGGTGTACACACGGGACGGCAGATCCCGGTGTACACACGGGACGGCAGATCCCGGTGAACACACGGGACGGCAGATCCCGGTGAACACACGGGACGGCAGATCTCGGTGAACACACGGGATGGCAGATCTCGGTGAACACACGGGATGGCAGATCTCGGTGAACACACGGGATGGCAGATCTCGGTGAACACACGGGATGGCAGATCTCGGTGAACACACAGGATGGCAGATCTCGGTGAACACACAGGATGGCAGATCTCGGTGAACACACAGGATGGCAGATCTCGGTGAACACACAGGATGGCAGATCTCGGTGAACACACAGGATGGCAGGTCCCGCACACAGCCCATACTCACTCCATACAGCGGAGTCCAGCGGTTGTCCTCGTCTATGCTCTTGAACTCGTTCTCCATGTCGCCAGTGCCCAGGTGATCTGTAAGGAACTCCTCGCCGCTGTATCTGTAAGGAACTCTCACAGCTCCCCGCTCGGCCTCATCGCTTCCCAGGCAAACCACAGCGCTATTTACGAGAAGAGAAGAGGAAACGAGCTCCGGCCCTGATCTGCGACACCGACCGTGGCACCGGCCTTATAAGCCACACCCTTTTCCGGTTAGTGATACGCCCACGTCTGCGCATTATTCGCTCAACCTGCCTTTGGCAACCGGCAAAGTAGCCGGGCGGCCAATGAGAAGCGAGCTGTGACAGATAGTCCCAGCCCTTTGTTCTCGCTCCTCCCATTCGGAGATCCCCTGTAGAACGCTAACCTGACGGCAGCAGTACAGGGCGGCCATCGTTAATGTGGGCATGAGGAAGGTCGCTTGTTTGAATGATGCTGAATTAGGAAAATCTGAAAGCAGATGAGCGAAGAAAGACTCGCTCTTAGTGTAGACACGAACGCTAGATTTGTGTGGCATCTATTTACCACCCACCTCTCTACTAGTACACACTGCTTAAAGTGACATTAAAGTCAAAAAAAATTTCCCTCCCCCCAATGTTAATGTTAGCACTTACCTTAAATTAAGTTTCTTAATCCGATCTTCCTCTTCTTTCCTGATGTTTTCACCTGTCCTTCCAGCGGTGCGGCGGCTCTCCGATCCAGCGCTGACTCCTCTCTGCTTGCAGGCACTTCCGATCCTGCGGTGTCTGCATGCGGGGTGCACGCGTCCATGCGGGTGCACGCGTCCATAGACTTACCTTGCGTCTCTGCTCGTCTACCACCCGAGAATCCAAACTGCGCATGCGCCCGCCCCAAGATGCTTTGCGGCAAAGTAAATAGATACTATACATGTCAAGCTGAACAATTGTGTGCGTCCACAAAACTGCGAGAAACTAAGGCACGCCAAATTGTTCATAGGTGACGCTTTAAAGGCCCGTACAGACCATGAGCTTAGAATTAACCATGACTATTGGCCCTAGAATTGTTGCTCTGACTTTGGCGTACACGGCAATACCTAACGTGTGTTTGGAGAATGTGGCTTGTCAGAGGCCTTTTATGTAAAAGTATAAGAACATCAAAACAACCATAAGTGTTTTGTCTTTGTGCTTAGTCCCTATAACCATACACAGCACAGCAACAATACATTCCCCCTTTACCAAGCAGCATATGTTCACCTTTTCTTTTGTTTCCTCAGCCACTCTGTTCAGCCACCAGGGAATACAGTAAACTCCCAGTTATCCGGCACCCACGGGAATCGGTAGGTGCCAGATAACTGTATTTTATGGTTGCTTGAGAGTTAATACTAACACTCAAGCAACCATTCCCCCTGCAGCCCCGTTCACCTGCCGACTAGTTTCCGCAGCCAGTAGGTGAATGTAAGCAGCCGGAAGCAATAGCCAGATTGTTATTGGCTATTTCAAATTGCAATAGCCAATAGCAGGCTGGCTATTGAAGCCCCGCACAATAGCCAGCCTGGACATATAGCCAAGACATATGCCCTCAATTTGTTTTTGCCTGTTGCTTGAGAATGCCGAATAATGCAGGTTCTACTCCAGAAGATAAAGAATTGCCATCCACTTTCCCTCATCCAAGTTCCTTAAATATCTATATTTGTAGACTGGCACCAAGAAGATATGGTTTTGCTGTTGCCGTTGAAGTTTTTGCAGCTCAGGTATTTTTATTACAAAACATATGTATTCAGTGCCTGTGTCAACGCGCTTCGGGCTTGTATTGATGGCATCAGTTTGACATTAAAGGAGAACTATGGGGTTAGGGCTGTTTCCCATAGTTCTCCTTAGGGTAACAGGAGGACACAAACTAGCGTCCTCCCGTCACCCTAAGCTCAGTATACCCTAAGCAGCAGTATACCTCGAGCTACAGCTCGCGGTATACTGAGATGCCACAGCTGAAGCAGATCCCGACAATTATGTCGGGAACCGCCCAGCAGCGTGAGTGACAGCTGGCTCTGCCTATTTAGAGGCAGAGCCAGCTTTACCCCCCCCCCCCCCCAAGAGCCGTGACAGCATCGAGAAGTGAGCGAACTTCTCGCAAACTTCCCGATCTACTGAGCCGACCTGTGACAGTCTCATTCTCACAGGTCGGCTAGAACTATGAGGTGAGTGAAAAGCACTCACCTCATAGTTCTCCTTTAATTTAGGGTGCATCTGCGATCATTCATAATTAATTGGCAGGTGTATTTAACCTCCAGTTGATCTTCTCTTGACCTGAATTTAGGGTTGCCACCTTTTCTTCAAGCGAAACCCAAACACTCTAGCAACGCACTGACATTTTTTTGGGAGAATGAGTCCTGGCTTATTCATATGAAAATATTACAGTTCAGTGGGTGGCCAGTAGCCCCCTATGTTAATTTTGGTTGCCCCTGTCTGCCTGTCATCTTGTGTCCGGGTTTCTGCTCCCAGAAAAAAAAAATCTATGGGTCAGGCCATCTTATTTTTTACATCCATCCCCATTTTATTAACACAGCTACGTCATGAATGTATTATGAATAAAAAAAGGTAAGCCCCGCGATTTCAAGAATAAGAAAATCGTCTCTACGATGAAGTATTTGTCCTTCGGGAAATCGATTTCTACAAATAAAATTTCAGTATTGTTATTATTATTTGTTTGTTTACTTTGTAACAACGCCGACAGCCCTAATCCCATTCTAACTCCAGTACTTTGAGCACGTGATGCGACCTTAATGTCACGTGATGAGACAAGCCTATCACGTGACGTGCTGGAGCTTTGCTAGTTGGACTACGCAAAAAGGCGCCTAGGTGATGCGCACGCGCAGTAGGTGGGTTTCGCATAGACGGTGACGGGACCTTTGCTTGGAATTTGGTGTACGTATGACGTCAGCGGCCGAGCATTGGTAGTCGGTGGAAGTGTCAGTTCCAGGTTGCCGGTATGTTTGTAGCGCGGAGCATCGCTGCCGATCACAAGGATCTCATCCACGATGTCTCGTTTGATTTTCATGGCAGAAGAATGGCGACCTGCTCCAGTGATCAGAGCGTGAAAGTGAGTGGGGCAGCAGCGAGCACATGGGGCGAGTGGGGCTGCTGTGTGTTGAGGGGGCAGAATATGGTGTTACTCTCCGGTCACTCCGGCATTGACGTCAGGATGGGATTTGTATGTAAGGGAACCAGGTGAAGCAGGCACGTGATCTGCACGTGATACAGAACCTGCTGTCAATCAATCAATCATGCTATGCTACCAATTATGGAAGATCAAATGTTTACAAACAAGGCAAAAGTTTACTTTAAAGGTTTGAAAACTGGCCTTGATGAGCAAAGTGAAGAACTTTTTATTTAAAGTGTCACTAAAACCAATAGTAAGAAACATCATGTTCAATTCACTTATTTGTTCTCATTTCTGTCCCTTCCAATGGAAGCATTGGACTTCACATCAAGAAAAATAAATGTATAGATTGTTTACCTTTGTGACCGTGGAACATGGTCACATTCCCAACCACCCCTCCCCACCTGAATTGTGGTGTTCTTCTTCTCCCGGCAGGCTCCATGATACATTTGAAGTTGGGTAATTCGTTTACAAGGTCTGTGAATGGAAAGACTACATCAAGGGACTCATATATCTCAATGGAGCACAAGTGCAGTAAAGCCACCACAATTGGTCGATTGAATACTTCCTTCAGCCCCATAACTGCCCCATAACCCACAGCCCCATGCCTCCGTACAGACCTGGGGCTGGAGGAAGAGTCTATAGGAGCATGTGCATTGTACTTGTAATCCATGGAATGCTTAGCAGACTGCAAAGCAAAACATTGATTCTAAAAAATGTACATCTAGCCGGGCATGTTCACACCAACTCCAGTGCATTCCAGCACGGTTAGTTGCTGGAACACACTGGATTGTGTACTGTCCGGCTCCCTGCGTTCTGGAATGGGAGGGGTCAATGGCACCTCAGCCAGACACCCCCCTCCCAGAAGCAAAGCATTGTGGGAAAATAGTTTTTCCACTCCCTATACTGAAGTTTCCTCTGTACAAAACAGTCTGGCAGCCATTTAAAGAAAAACGTAGAGCCTGAGAGGACTACTAAAAAAAAAAAAAGTTTTTTTGTGTTTATATCCAGGATCTGCATATGCCGGCATCATCTACTCATCTGCACACGGTGTACATTGCTGGCATATTTTTTTTATTATTATAATGCCCTGCGAAGGTGGAAATGTCCTTTTAACCCTATATTCACACACACACGTGTCCATTTGCATTCCGAAAAGACAAATCAAAATCTCCAATTTCTTTATTTAAGGTCTGGGACAAAAGTGAAAATGGGGATTGGCATTGCACTGCAAGTTGGAAGGTGAGTATGCTTTTCTAATCTGCTTCCATTTCATTTTCCCTTGCACCCCCCCCCCCCAAAAAATTTTTCCCCCCCCCCCCCCCCCCCCCCCCCTTTTCAACGAATGAATGCCATTCCTATATAAAACCTTTCTGTTTTCTTTACCTACCTATATCATTTTAGAGCTTTTGATGCCACTACTGGGTCTCTGTCCTTCATGTGATGGAGACAGGTCATGGCTGGTGGGAGGGCCAGCAGGCTGCTGTACATAGCTTTCTGAGATCCTCATAACGCCCTACCCCAGTATCTCTTCCCTGGTGCGAGCGGTGGGCTGGTTCTTGGGTGAAGATGTGCAAAATGCCTTGATGGGTGGATGTTAGTCTGGTGGAGTGGGTGTTCCTAGACAGGCTGGGTTTGCATGCAGAATGCCCCAGGTAATGCCCATGTGCAATGCTGTGTGTCCATGATTTGAAAGAACCTATATTTTAAAAAAATGAAAGTGGCAGTTCTGGGACAGTAAGGCAGGAAGAGGAATGGATTAGATGATGCTGGGTGTCCTTTAGCCAGGAAATAAGGCGGGCCCTATTTGACTTGGTGCAATATCTAATGCATATCGGCTCAATGCATGCAGTAAAATCAGAGCAAGCAATTTACAGAAAAAGAACCTGTAGAACTGTGCAAGATTGAAGGTAAGGTTGGAGCTTCCATAATTGTTTAGAGGGTAATCTCTGTTGTAGGATAGCAATGTCTTAAGTTTATATGATGCCTAAGTAAGGTTTATTTTGTAGCATTATCCAGTGCGGGTAAAACATTTCCACATAGGAAAACATTTGAATGCATGTGTTTTCATATGACTAAGCCTTAGGTTCACACCAGGGCGTTTGGAGATCAGCACGGTTTCCACACGGATTTTAAAAGGGCGGTTTTGGGTGTTTTTAATTGTGTTTTCAACGCTGAAACACAATTAAAAACGCCCCAAACCGCACTGAACTGCGCAGTTCCATTGATAGCAGTATGGAAACCGCGCTGATTAGCGCGGCAAAAAAGAGTCTGGGAGCAATTTGGGCGGGAGGAAGTTCGGATCGCGAGGAGCCGCATCAACGGTCCCTATAGCAATGTATGAGATCGTTCAAGTCGGCGGATCGGCGCGACCGAACCGCCCTGGTGTGAACGGGGCTTTAATGATGCAGTAAACTGTAGTAACAGCTTCATTAAGCAAAACATGAGTTTTGATTGGTTTTGCTGTTGTACATTAGGCTAAATTGGTTTTGATTGGTTTTGCTGTTGTACAACAGCAAAACCAATCAAAACTTATATTTTGTTTAATGAAGCGGTTAGTACAGTTTACTGCATCCTTAAGGCCCCGTTCACACCAGGGCGGTTCGGCCGCGTGGATCTGCCGACATGTTTCCCTTATGGAATAATCCTAATTGCAATAAATGGTAAGTAACATTCTGATATTGTTCTATGTATTTCTCCTCAGACACACAGCGGCTCTGTATGGCGTGTCACTTGGGCTCATCCAGAGTTTGGGCAGGTTTTGGCTTCCTGCTCTTTTGATAGAACAGCTGCTGTATGGGAGGAAATAGTAGGCGAATCAAACGACAAACCTCGTGGGCAGAGTCACTGGGTAAGATCTGCCAATGGCTTACAATCCCTTTTAAACTAATGCTTTTACCTTTCACGGTCCTATTTATATCATGTATATTTACCAGAATCAGCAGCTGATTTTTATTTTTTTTTAATGTATACAAAGTTAGACGTTGAAAGTGGCTTTAACCTGTACCTCTTGTGAGTGGAAAGCTTGATGCACACTTGCCGGTCTGATTGTTCAATTGTTTTTATATTTACTAGCTACTGTGTAGGACAGCTGTTCTCAACCACGGTTCAGTGAAACTCTAGGGTTCCTCCTGAGGTTGCTAGGGGTTCATTGAGCAATGGTGAATTAATCTCCCACTTACCCAGACCACCAATGGAAGTGGTCTCTTCTACGCTGACACCTATTGTTAGGGGACAAAACGATATTTGTCTGTCTTTTCCGTTATTATCATCCATTTAATTTTATATTATTTAAAATAGCTTCATTGTATTTCATTATTATTACTGAAGAACATTTTGTTGTTTTGCCAGTGGGGTGTAGGGGGAAAAAAATAAATAAAATCTGCTCTGCGTGTCTAACATGCTAGTTAGTAAAGTATATCACCAGCACACCAAAGTTAAAATCTTCAACGAGTGGTCAATTTATTGATGTACACACATCTCGTCACAAAGCAAAGTTTTGGGGACATCAATAAAATGACCACTCGTTGAAGATTTTACTTTGGTGTGCGGGTGATATACTTTACTATTTGGATTTAAAGTGGCGCCATCCACTGTCACTGCAGCACCCACTTTAAAAAGGGACATACCATTTAAGGAGTGCGGTGGAAACCTCTTTAAAACATGCTAGTTAGGTCACTTTATTTCTCCTTAGATTTAAACCTTTTTGCATCTTATACTTGCAAAGATTTTTATTAGTTGAAGAAAAAATGACAGCATTGAACACATGAAACACAAAGTATAGATAAACATTACCGACTGCATACAAATAATGTGCAATAGAATAATAAAACAAATGTTAGATACATAGAACTGCTATATCAAGAAATATTGAGACCCAAAAGGCAGAGACAGTTGAAGATTAACCAAAATTGTTAGCAAAAAAGGGGTCCCCTACAGTAGCTAGGCTGATTGAAAAACATTGAATGTGGTGCAGCAAGAAGTAGGGTTGATTTGAGCAGACAGAGGCACTTTAGAAATAAATCAACTGGACAATGAGCAAAATGAGAAATGATCACGACTGAAGATGATTTGGTTAACCACAGTCTGGTCAATATAACGCATCCATGGATCTCATAGGAGCTAGTTATGCAACTTCTAAATCATGTTTATGTACCATGAGCTGTAGATATAATTTTTTTATCAAGGTTTCCCCGAGACCTGGAAACTGTTTTAAGGGTTTTTGTGCAGTAAAAAGGTTGAGAAACACATGTAGGGGAAGGGGCTACCTGAACACCCTTTTCAATTTCAGCTCCTCATACAATCAGATGGGCCCTCACACTACATTGTTGTTGGAAAATCTAGAGTAGTTTGTCATGCATGGGGCCAGCTTTAAACTGATGCATTTTCGGGTGGTTTCATCTTCAAACAGGTTATAGTATCATATGGTAGTTGTGTGCTTTTGGCTTTAAATTTCTGTTCAATCTGAAATTTATATTACAGCACAATAAAATACTTCTTTGATCCATTCCAAACAAACAGATAACAAACTGCTGGAAGAAGTTAGTCCCATGCATATGTTTAGCTAAACTCTGTCCATCCCATGTTCATGTTAGGCAGCCCATAATAGAAAGCTAATTTATAGGGATCCCTGATAACTTTTCAGTCTTGATCTTCCTACACTGTACATTGAAAACAAGCTGAATTTAAACAAATTAGTGCTTACACCATTATAAAGGAAGAAAAAAAGGTAACTTTTGTAGTCACTGATCCCATAAAGTGTTTCCATATAAAACTATCACGCAGGAAGTGCCTTACACTAAATATCATGTAATTCACTAAAAAAAGATATTTGTAGGAATTCCCTTCCCCAACAAGTAGAAAGATTGACAGATCTGTTATTAAAAAGCACTAGATGACCCTCCTCATCTGAGCCATGATACCGGTAACAAAATAACTATAGAAGGCAATATAGTAATTAAAGTGACATTAAACCCTCAGATTTTTTAACATAAAACAATACTGTAATGTGTGCCTTACTGTAATCCATGGTTGTTTCCCTTCTCTTTGCTGCTCTTCCTTTTAAATCCGTATCTCTTCTCATGCTGGGCAGAACTTCTGTTTTGCAGCAGACTGCCTTGTCTCTGAAATGGATACATGGTGTCTATGTGCAGGTTCACAACCTGAGCCAGCACTACAGGAAGAGGCACTCAGCTGCAAAAGGAAGTTCTCTCCAAGCATGAGAAGAGATAAGGATTTTAAAAGAAGAGCAGCAAATAGAAGGGAAACTACCATGGATTACAGTAAGGCGCACATTACAGTATTGGTTTATGTTAAAGAAATCTGAGGGTTTAATGTCACTTTAAGTAATAGAATCCTATTGAAAACAAAGTGGCAAGTGCATCAAGTGGTTGCCTGATTCTATGCAGTGCTTCTAATGGCTCCCATAGTCATGGACTTTCTATTCATCTATATTTAATTAAAATGGGAGTGTAAAGTCCCAGTACTAGAAGAGTAATGAGCCTGTCCAGTTAATCCAGCATTACACAGCGCTAATATTATTATGCCAAACATACTTCTCGGCTTAGTGGTTGTATGTTGTGCAATACTGTAAGGAGTGCCGATCAGCCTTTGCTTGGATGTTATTCCTGCAAATGTACAATTCCATTGATATCATTAGGTGATTGGTATATTCAAAGAGAAAAAAGCAATAGCGGCTCTCTAGTGGTAAGATATGATAGTCATGGCGTCGCACAGCACTTTGCATGCTTGTGTGCAAGCTGGTATCCTGAATATTCATTCTTGTTGTATTCCTCCTATGGTTGTCCTCCCAAAGGCAGCCACTTCATGGAACCAGGTTTGGCATTCATCATAGACATATCGAAGCTTCTCATCCAGTCCGTCTATGCCAGGATAGAGGGTTGTAGTGAGTGCATCAACCAGTTTTGTTATAATGTTAAGGGTTAGTTCACATCAGAAACTGCATCACAACTGCGTGCCTCTGCGCAGTTGCACTGCGATGCGTTTTTTAAACTGCACTAAAAAATGCTAATGAGGCATGTAGGTCACTTCCTTTTCCTGCCAGAGCATTTCCTATGTTTGTTTTGTTCGTTTGGGAGCTCAGTCATGCTTTCTTTGTTGGCTGGCATGGTGCTAGTTTTGACTTTAGCCATTCTTTTTTTTTGTTATGTGTTGCGGTGCGCTTGATGCGTTTGCACCGCGTTTAATGCAGTTAAAGTAGGACAAGCAGTACTTTTTCTGACTGCAGTTGAATCGACTGCAATGGTGTGAATTAGGCACAAGAAAGCCCATAGGAAAGCATTGGGATGTATTTTAACTGCGCAGTTGAAATAAACGGACTGCATCACAACTGCATATGGTGTGAACAGGCCCTAAAACTTCGTCAGGATGAAGGAAAAGCAGTGACTTGTTATCTTTTCTCATTTCTCAATTTAATTATTTATTATTATTCATTAAAACAAAGAAAGATAATTACATTCTCTTTCATGTAACATTACAAAGACCGATATATGAGCGTGGACGGTGGTCGATAACGGAGGTTTCCCCAAAAAAAAGGAATTGTAATATACGTTAAGATGGGGAATTAATAGAGTTTGGAACATTTTATAATATTTAAGGCTATATCCGTCAGGGCCTGGACTTTTACCCACCGCCATTGAAGCAATCGCTTGTTTAATTTCTAGTTCGTTAATAGGGGATTCCAGGACCTCCAATTGAGTCTCCTCTAGTTTAGGGAGGTGACTAGCTGCCAAATACTTATTAATACTGTCCAAATGTATTTGCTTAGTTTGAGGGGTAGAGTAGGGCCTGATGTTATAAAGTGAGGCATAAAATTCCCGGAAAACAGTTAAGATGCCTTGGGTGGTATGTACCAGTACGTCCTGTTTAGATTTGATTTTAGCTATAAAGTTTGTTCCTTGTCCCTGTTTAAGTAATTTAGCTAAAAACTTCCCGGGTTTTCCCCCTATTTCGTAGGACCGCTGAGAAAAATAATTAAGGGAACGCTTGTATTTATTTAGTAAGGCCTCCCTGAGAGCTTCCCTGGCAGCTGTCAAAGCCATTAAGTCTGTCTCCGTCATTGTACGTTTATGACGGCTTTCCATGGCCGCTACCTTCCCTGTTAATTCTAATATTTTAGTGTTAGCTTCCTTCTTCTTTCTAGTCCCATATGAAATAAGAGCACCCCTTATAGTCGCTTTATGTGCCTCCCAGAGAATCCCTGGTGACACTTCTGCCCCTAAATTTTCGGAGAAGTAATGGGTAAGGTCCTTCTCGACAGCCGCAAATGGACGGGATGTCCAAGCTTGCAGAGAGGGGAGGCCCGGAGCTCAGCTTAGGTGCGTCCTGCCGCCATGAGTTCTAGGACACGCCCCCCCCCGTTCGTCCACATTATCTTTTCTCATAATGCTATATATGTATGTGATAGTAGGTGGAAGTATTTCTCTGAGTGCTAAATATTTTCTTTTTAATTGTAACCTCACAAGAAGTCGTGCACAGTTTCAATATAAAACAAGAAGAATCTATATTTCTTAATTAAAGAGGAATTTATTTATTTTTTGCTTCTTTTAAGTTGTGCTGGTTTAAGTAAATGACAAGCTGACAGTGGATGCATCTGTCAGTGGCTGTTCGCATGTAATCATACATGGTACGATAACCTGCAATTCGAAATTGATGATTGTCCCAGATTGATTGTTTCCAGGGACAATCATCTATCCTGAACTGCAGTTAATCGTTCCACTTACAATTACATGTGGACTGACAGTTGTGGCTGCTGTCAGCCCGTCACTAACTTTGAACAGGCACATCGGCCGCATCTGTGCGGACACATCTGGGATTCCTGCTGCAAGAATTTGTGGGTTCTTGCGGCAGGAATCTCCAGCCGCAGCCTAAGGGGCTGTTCACACGACGTCCGTTTTGTGTGCTGACCGGCTCCGTACGCTAATGCACTCAAAATGTATCCCTATGTGTTTTATGGGCTCTAGTTCTCACATGCGCAGTCCGTTCAGCTTACGACATAACAAATACTGCATGTCACATTTTGTCAGGTCCGGAAACGGTCCGGATACGCAAACGCGCACGAAACGCAACGAAAACAGAACGGCAATGCAGCTAAGGGGGAAAAAAAAGAAAAAATTGTATTCTTGCTCCACCTATTATGATGTCATCAACGTTGACAAAAAATTAACTGTCAGCATCCGGACCGAAAACTCATCAAAAACGCACTGCATCAGCAGCTCCACGTCTGCTGATCAGGACCTGATCTCATGTGAACAGGCCCTAAAAAACGCGTGGGGCCTTGCAGAAGCTCCATACGCTTGTTAAGAAATCTTTGCGAGAATATTTTTTTATACTCTTATGCCAAGCGTTCAAAAGATTGCAAAGCTTTGGCTTCCCTGTGTAAATTTGCGAGCCCAACAATTGGACTGAATTACAGAGAGCCATGAGATCACCACTGTAGCCTTCTTGGCAGGGAAGAAAATTCCATCTCGGCAGCTGCTCATTCAACATGGAGAAACTGGAGCTTTGCGGTCACATGATTGTTTGAAAAAAGTTTAAAAAAAAAAGGTATTTACACAGATTTCTTAACAACTGTATGGCATTGGGTAAGAGCAGTGGGTAGGCAAGGTTTTATACGTAGATTATTTAGGACTTTCCTTTTACTTTCAGTGTTTTTATTAAACATGCAGTTCTATATAATTTAGGTCCGGGTTTTATTGTAAAACCTTTACTAGTCTTCTCAATGTTCTTCCTCCTTTTTGTCTTTTAGGTTAAGAGAACTACACTTGTGGACAGCAGAACATCTGTAACAGATGTGAAGTTTGCCCCTAAACACATGGGATTAATGTTAGCCACTTGTTCAGCTGATGGTGTTGTGAGAATATATGAAGCCCCTGATGTCATGAACCTCAGCCAGTGGTCTCTGCAGCATGAAATCTCCTGCAAGCTCAGCTGCAGTTGCATCTCCTGGAACCCTTCTAGGTGAGTGTTTGTTTCCTTTCCTTTTTAATCTCTTATTTTATTTTTTTTTGTGTATGGAAACTTGGCATTTGTTGAAGGGCTAAAATAATCCTCTCTAGGACCCTTTTATATTCACTTTGGATATTTTAACAAACTTACTTGTAGATTTTTACCTGCTTCTTCTGTGGAGGCATTGATTTTGGGCCATTCCAGTAACATCAGCAATCCCACTGTTGAATAGGAGGGTCTGCCTGCTGCAGTCATGTGATGAGGCCTAGTGTTCTCATAGACCTTGCATCCTAGGCATCCCTGTAGACGCATGGCCTAATTATCACCAATTAATCCGTATACACAGGACGGCACTGGGGATGCCTCTAAGTTAACTTCTAGCTCTGCATAAAACTATTTTATGGCAGATCCAAAAATAGGCCTAATTTTTGTCCTGATCAGCAAAGCCACCTCTGAAAGAGAAATGAAAATAAAATTCAGCTAAATCCATTCAAGTTTATAAGTTGTTTTTTTTTAATTATATTCTTATATCTGTTAAAATATGCAAACTATCTTTTGTTTTGCAAATATACATTATGGATTCCCAGGGTACTGGGCTAGCTCAAGAGGAAACTTAGAAAAGTAGCTTGCCTTCTTGCTGGCCTTGTGTGATTGGAAGCTTCAGTCCGATTCACTGCTGTGATTCGTTCAGTTCTGTAGTATGTAAATGAAAATTGGCTTTTTACAGTTTGGTTGTAAGGAGAAACTAGAATGTATGATTAGGGGAGCCTAGAGCTCTACCGTTTTGCTGAATCAAAGACTGCATCTCATGCTTTAGGCATCATTTCACATTTAATAATTAACTGTAGATTCTTAATTTTATTATTTTTAGTAACTATAATAAAGGAAAATGTGTAGAGCTGACTCTACACCCCCATTACAGCTACAATAGCTCCCTCTAGTCACTGGTCATTGTCTGATATCTTTGGACCAGTCAAGGATGCAGTCTAACTGGAGGAGCATTCTAGCTCTGTCTACTAGATGGATTAGTTGCTATTTATAATTGCTTGTACACCCTTATCTTTTAGTTTTATTAAACTGCATTTTAGCGAACTTCAAATATACAATCTAGTCAGAACCAAGATTGAGATGCATGCAGGGAACGCAGCTTTTCTGCCCAGAACTTTTATAATCGAGACACTAGTGTTGTTCTCCAGGCCGCCTCTTTGGATTTTGTAGGTTATTTGGTAGGAGCTTTTTTTATTAGTACTATTTTTAGTCGAGCCTTTCCCAAACACACTCACTTTCAGCCTCTTTGCTGTCTCTCACATAAAGGGCCGGTTCACACCACAAAGAGTGCATTCCAGAGAGTTCGGCCTCTAGGACGCATTGGAACACAACCTGGCCGGCTCCCTGCATTCAGGGGCGGGAGGGGGCGTGGTTATGCATTGCACTATTTTTGCAGATCACACTGGACCGGAACGCAGGCACTAATGCCGGCGATCACACTGCGGGCGAGGACGCACTCTTTGTGGTGTGAATTGGCCCAAAGAAAGCCTGCTGTATGAAATAGTGAGTATGAAGAAGCACCACACAGCCACCAATTCAGATCTACCTTGAAAGTAATAACCTGATTGTGTAGATAAAGCGAGAGAGGAGGTTACAGAGGACAAATAGCAGGAAAGATACCTACCATGTATGTTTGACACTACAACTCCCAGTTTAATAATTTTGTAAATACTAGAGGTGCACCGAAATTAACATTTTAAAAATGAAACCAAAATGGAAAAAAAAATGTCAGGCTGAAACCAAAATTCTTTTTTTTTTCCTAGCCTTTTCAATTTTTTTTTTCTGCATCCCCCTGTTATAAATGAACAGGAATTCTCTATACTGAGTGTAGGTTTACCATGTCCACAATCATGAATGAACAGGAGCTGATGTAGATCACTTCCCATGCATTCATAATTGGGGACAACATAAACATACTATGTCCTCAATTATTTACAAACACTCGGCGATCGCTGAGAGCTTGTACTCTGCCCTCCATTCTGACTGTCTGTCACAGGAGGCTGAACGAGTGTCCCAACCTCCTGTGACCGCTGTCTTCGCCCCCACACCGCCGCTCTTCGAGTCTGTCACAGGAGGCGGGGTAGGAGTAGAGCTCAGCTTCCTATGACAGCTGTCTCCACACACTGCCGCTCTCCTGATCTGTCACAGGCGGCTGAGCTGTGCTGGAGGAGAGACGACGGCTGCTCACAGCGCTCTCTTCCGCACTGCTCCGCCTCCTGTGACAGTTTCTCTCCTCCCCGCTGGGACATAGAGCAGTGCCCAGTGGGGAGGGCCGAAAGCATGGATTCACTGCTATTTCAGCCGATATGTTTTTGGCGGTCGAAATTTCGGTTTATCCCTAGTAAATTAACTTGAGTAGTGGATGGAATCCTTCCTTTTTAAAATTGCATCTCCCGTATTCCAATGCACAGTTAAGTTTCTTTGCAGTCATTTAACCCCTTCGTGACGGGAGACGTACAGTGTACGTCTTGTCACTTTGTGCCTATATGACTGGCCACGTACACTGTACGTGACGAGTTATATCAGGCTTTGTAATGCCGGTATTTGCTGATTCTCAGCATTTAACAGTCATTCATTAATGTCTCAGTATTGAGGCATTAATTAATGAAATAATTAAGCTTTTTGTAAAAGCTTCTTCCTTTCATTAATGAAAGAATGAAGCCGTTACATGCAAATAGAGGACCGCAATTTGCGATCCTGTATTTGACAGCTCAAAATAGCAGAGAGGTAGCAGTGACTCACCTCACCTCTCTGCTATTTGTTTTGACAGCTGGAGAGCCCGATGTTTGGATACATTTCACTGAAAGGATACAATGTATCTCTTTTGAGTGAAATGTATCATTTCTGATCGTCTAGGCACGATCAAAGAGCTTTTAGTGAGATCTGAATCTGACTAAAGTCAGGATCAGTCTCTAAGGTTATTATTAGCTGTTCCTAAGTTTGGATCAGCCTAATAGCCAAAAATAAAATAAAAAAGTTAATTTATCAAGCTGTCATAGTGATTGCTTGATATAAACTGACAAGAAAAAAAAAAGTTTTTTTATTTTTATTTTTTTTACAAAGTGTAAAACAAAATTAGGAAAATATACATTATATATAAATATATTTTTTATACTATAATTAATATAAAAAAATTCTAAAAAAAATAATAATAATCAAAACTTGTGAAAAAAGTGTTTTCTTCTAGTTTTTTTTCCTCTTTTTTTTTTTATTTTATTCAAACTAAGTGAGGGGTTAGGTACACATATGTGATATAATTATATAGCCCTATCTATTCCTCTAAAAAACAATATATAATATGTGTGGGTACATTTAGTAAGAAAGTATATTACTGACGTGGAAGAATCACACATCAAAAATGTAAAAAATGTGTCAGTCATTTATGAACAGAACCTGAAAACTAGCTCAGTCATGAAGGGGTTAAAGTGTCTTTTAATTCAGTGCAAGTTCCTGGACTTTTGGACTGTGTGATGCCTGGCTCCATCCAGCTTTTTTTTTCTGTGACCTGAGTTTATAAAACACATTCATGTAGGTGTCATATCCAGGAGATGGCCTCCTTTTAGTGAATAAAGCAAGCTAGGAGGTGCTGAGTTACTGGGACATGTGGTACATGAGTGCTGGTGCGTGCCGCTACTTCACGCCCCCAGCCTAAAAGGCAGAATAATCTATGAAGCTGGCGCGGTCATGCAACTGCATTTTTGTAAGTAAAATTAAAGTAATTACCGGGTACAAAGCAATCTGCAAAGTGATCAGGAAGTAGGGATTCAGGGCATATAGCTGTTTATATCCTGAAGGTTGTGTTTTAAAGAGATACTGTCAACCTAAACATGCTGGGAAAAGTGACTGTGTCTCTGCAAAAGGCTTCACTCTACTTAGGTCTTCCTTATCAATGGTCTCTGCTGCTTCCCCCTTTTATAACCTGTACTGAAATGTCCAGTGTCTGACCCAGTGGAGCTTTGATATATTTCCCCAGCAATGTGACAGTACTCGGGCTTAGCGATTGGCTGCTATACTCAAGAACGGTCATGGAAGAGATTACATGCTCCCCCAATACCCATATGTTTTGTGTATTGTGACTGGATGCAGAGGAGGGAACAGCAGGGAAGTGATGGTAAGTTGAATTTAAAAGGTTGGGGGAAGACTGCAGAGACGCTGTCACTTTGCCCTGCATAGGTAAGGTAACAGTGTCTCTAAGATAAATTCAGTGCGCTTTGTGATCTGAGCATATTTTTAGTATTTCCTGGGTATCATAGGTCTGATTTCACTTTTTGCCTGGAATTGCACTCTGAAGTGTATTATGTTTCCACAGGATTTTTTTTTAACGGTGTAGTTACTCATGCAGAGTTATTATGAGCCAGCATATAGTCACCCCAGAAATTGATGTCATGGTGGAGATGTTCCTGATGATAATACCAGCTAGTTGGAACAGAAATACTTCCTCTCCTTAATTGCATCATAGGCTATAGCATTAATTAAAGCTATTTAGCAAATGAACTTTTCCTTTTTTATTTATTTTTTATACTGCTATGATGTGAACTTGGCTCGTCTGTTTTGTAACTCTTGTTCATGTCTTTCTCTTGTTTTACAGTTGTCGTGCTCATTCTCCTATGATTGCAGTGGGTAGTGATGACAGCAGCCCTAATATAATGGGAAAAGTTCAAATCTATGAATACAATGAGAACACTAGGTAAAAATAAAACAATCTATGCATTTTACCAAGTTTACGTGATATGAATGTTCTTGAGGTGGTAATGCCAATATAAACCTAATCGCAACAAAATTAAAATTTTCCACTTGCAGTGCAATCAGATTTAGCTGCTCTTCCTAAAAGGATCATTTGAGAATTTTGTAAATTCACTTGTTCTTCTAAAAAAAAAAAGTTTTTCCTCATTCTCTAGTTGGTCCCCAAACCTCTGATTTGTAAGGGTGAGGGGGACAGGGAAACATGGAAAGGTACTAGGCGATTTCCCATAACGTCTTCCAGGACCGCATCACGAGATGGAATCTCCTCCCCCCACGCACAGGAAACACGTCACTTAAACTCCTTTAACCTCTTGCCGTCCGCCCGTTAAGAAAAAACGGACGGACGGGAGACTCGCATCAGCGGGTTGCCGTCGCTAGACGGCATTTATTTCCTGCTCGCGCGCGCCCCCTAGCGCACGGGCAGGAAAGACCCGCTCGTTACTACAGCCGTTAACGGCTGTTTCACATACAACCCATCAGCGGCTCTATAGCCGCCGATCGGTTGTATGGCGTGAATTTCGGAGCGCCCCCGCCCAATCGCGAGTGCCGCCATCTCCCCCCTCCTGACCCCTCACCTTTAATCCCGGGATCCGCTAGCCCATCTGCGACCCGGGAGAAAAAAATCTATATAAATAAAAAAAGTAAAAAAAAATGTCACAAACAAAAAAAGTAAACCCCCCCCCCCTTCGTTTACGCACATATAAACGTAAATATGAGTCGCATGCGCCAGCGCACGACGTGACCCCGTCTTTTATATTTTACCAAAAAATTTGGTAATAATAAATGTTTTAGAATTTAATATAGGGGAACAGGTTTTTGTTTTTTTTGAAAACTGTAGTTTTTCCTTAATATATTAAAAAATAAAAACCGCAGTGGTGATTAAATACCACCAAAATAAAGCTCTATGTGTCCCCAAAAAAGGGTATAAAATTCATTTCAGTACAGCGCTGCATGATGGAATAAATGTCAGTCAAAGTACCGCAGCGCTGAATACTGAAAAATGGCCTGGATGGGAAGGGGGTTTAACACCCCGGATGTCAACTGGTTAAAAGACCCTCCTCTCTCCTCCACTCCCTCAGTCTTTTGTGTTTCCTCAGTCAAGCTGGGGAGTGCATCACAGAACGCTGAGAGGGGCTTCCATGTGGTGATGCTGCCCGGGAAGTCTCCTTAATGGCTGCCTATGTAGGGCAGGTGGTGTAGGTTCGCCTACCTGTTGTGAGCCCCAGGGATTCTCCTATCGCTGTCAGGAGATGAGGCTGGCTTCCTTTCCCCCTTCAGTGCCCAGTGCGGGCCGGGACCGGGTGGACGAAACCCCCTTGGCTAGGTCAGGGGAATCGGTGGACCGCCGTTCAGAGGGGTCTGTCCAGTTCTCAGGGCCTCGGGAAGGTGTTCCAAGGCCAGACCAGGTGGCCGCGTACGTCACTTCCGGCGCGGGTGACGTAATTTCCGGGCTTGTGCATTCCAAGAATGCATATAGGTGAAAAAATGCCAAACCTTCAGTACTACTTTAATGTCGAGTGGTTGTGATCCACACTCGAATCCATTGTTCACATTATCGTATTGACTTTTAATCTTCCCTTTTGAATTAAAGTAGTGCTAAAGGCTATGTATTTTTTAACCTTAATGCATTCTCTGCATTAAAGGAGTGAATTCTACTCATCCCCATAGTTGGAGGCGACGTGTGACATTGAAACTGTCGCACGTCGGCTCTATTTATCAGTAAGGGAGCGAAAACATACAGACACTCGCTCACTTCCCGATTCCCTCCCTGTAGAGAGTGGTGACCGTCAGTCATCACTCTCCGCAGGGATTCCACTCCTCCCCTATCCGATCCTCTAGCGCTGACTGTAGAAAAGGATGGGGAAGGGGGCGGGCATAGCTGGATCTGCCTCTAGAGAGGCAGAGCCCGCTGTCAATCAGCCAGCAGGGTGGATCGCGTCAGTATTGTCTGGGCCGGACTGTTGAGCTCTCGGCTATCGCCCGCTATATACTATGTTTTGGGTCACGGGAGGATTTTAGTATATGTCCTCCCGTGACCCTAAAGAGAACTCTGGGGGGAAAAAAAGGTTCCCCCATACTTCTCTTTTAAGGTAAAAAAAAAAAGAGCCCCAGTACCTTTCCATGCCTCACCCCAAAACTGCTTTTCTATGTTCACCACCGCCAGCGCCAAGACTGTGTGTGCTGCTTCCCTGAACTTCCAGCTTGTAGAGGAGAGATTCTGAGGCCACTGAGGATTTGGGAGGGATAGGCTGTCGCAGCTGCCTGTCAAAATGCTGTGGGAAGGGAGCTGTGTGTTCACACAGCTCGGCTCAGGTTCTGGCCACTGGAACGCACAGTTGTCTCGTTTGCAACTTGCTAGGTAAAGGACACTCGCAAACAGTAGAGGAGGGCAGCCATTTGAGGCCAGCAAAAAAAAAATCAACTGGGTTAGTGTTAAACAAAAGTAAAACAAATAAGCAAGTGTGCTGTGCTGAATACAAAAACCACAAGGGTTTTATTTCACTTTTTTAAGTTTTGGATTTAGGCTTGTGATGACTTGAACCATTGAACTTTTCTAATTAATATTCTACTCTGAATGCTTTTATGTAGCACCTGTACTTAGTCTTTTAAGAGACTTAAATATTTTATATGTTTGCAGAAAATATGTGAAAGCTGAGACATTTATGACCGTCACAGATCCAGTCCATGACATTACATTTGCTCCGAACTTGGGGAGATCATTCCACATCCTTGCAGTTGCAAGCAAAGATGTCAGAATTTTCACCATGAAGCCTTTAAGGTGAGTTGTCAGGACAGAATGTTCAGTTCACTCTGATTATATTATTGTATGCCATCTGATACGTTTTAGTAATCTTCCCTCCTGTCACACATCCAAGTATTGCATGTGTCAGCTGCAGAGTAGGTGTACTATATTTTTTGGCTTCTATACTCTGCTCCTTTTAATACCTGATGTTGGCTCTAACTTCATACTAATGCCACTTCAAAGTTTGAATTTCTGAGGAAAGTGCTGGGGTAAATAAACCTCGGCCTACTCGTATCAAATTTACATATACACTGTATAAGAACAGGCCGTTTCATAGCTGCCACTGTTGAGGATTAGTTCTGAAATTGATCAGGATGGTATGAGAATCTAAATCTGATTACAAAGGTAATGTTTTTCACTTTACCAAAGGGCTGTAATGCCTGAAATGAAAAAGTAAACGTATGTGAAAAAGCATATATTGTTGCAAAATTATTTTAGAAATATGTAACATTTTCATATATAGTTTTTACTTAAAGTGACATTAAACTCAGGCGTTAAATCTTAAAGGAGAACTGTGGGGTTAGGGCTTTTCCCCATAGTTCTCCTCCTTAGGGTAACGGGAGGACACAAACTAGCGTCCTACCGTCACCCTAAGCTCAGTATACCGCGAGTACAGCTCGCGGCATACTGAGACGATGAAGCGGATCCTGACAATTATGTCTGGATCCGCCCAGCTGCGTGAGTGACAGCTGGCTCTGCCTATCTAGAGGCAGAGCCAGCTGTACCCTCCCCCATCTGTTCCGCCACTCAGCGCTGGAGGATCGGAGGGGGGAATCCAGCCCCTCCCCTGTCACGGCAGAGAGCCGTGACAGGATCGAGAAGTGAGCGAACGCCGGTATGTGTTCGCTCACTTCCCGATATACTGAGCCGACCTGTAACAGTCCCATTGTCACAGGTCGGCTAGAACTATGAGGTGAGTGAAAAGCACTCACCTCATAGTTCTCCTTTTAAAGATGCATTCAAGTACTTTAACTATTAACTAAAAGGAATCTTATTTGTGTACTTTTTGTTCTCCATGGTCCATGGTGAGAGAGCTTGGAGCGGTGACTACTTTACAACACACACAGGGACCATGGGGAACAAAAGTAGCCACCCTCCAGAAGGAATGACAGTGTCCGCATTAATTCAGAGATGATTTGAGGATCTGCAGCCAAGTGATCCACAAATAAGATACCTTTTTTTTTTTTTTAAATAGTTAAGGTACTTGAATTACTTTTAAGATTTTCAAATGGTGTATTGCAGCCATGGCGCTATTGTGGGATTCTATACACCAGGGGCGCCCACTATTTTTCGTCTGGAGATCTACTTTTCAAATGACGAGCTCATTGAGATCTACCAACGAAAAAACAGCTGCATTCAGGGGCGGGAGGGGGCGTGGCGGTGCATTGAAGTCAATGGCACCGCAGCCAGGCTCCGCAGGCAGGCCCCTCGCCCACAGTGCGATCGCCTGCATTAGTGTCTGTGTTCCAGTCCAGTGCGATCCGCAAAAATGCTGCGAGCACTATTTTTGCAGATCGCACTAGACCGGAATGCAGGCACTAATGTGCCTGCATTCCGAGTGCGTGCGATCGCAATGTGGGCGATGCCATTGACTTCAATACAGCTCCACACCCCCTCCCGCACCTGAACGCAGGGAGTCGGCCGGCTTACATTCCAGTGCGCCCTACATCCCCGCTGGGGAGAGCAGCGGGGATCCAGAGAAGCGGCGGGAGGAGAGGACATGGCGATCTACCAGTGATCGCTACGCGATCGACTGGTAGATCGCGATCGACCTTGTGGGCACCCCTGCTATACACTATGAACAGGATGCACCCAAGAATTCTGCTTGTATGAACACCTCACCATTTGTCTTTTAAAGGTCTTCAACCTTCTATTACAGAGCTTTTAAAACATTTGAATAAATTGTTTTTAAATATGTGTTATCTAAGTATTAGTGGCCTTTTTAGAAACACCATGATGCATTAAAATGTATGTATAGCCAAAACTGTTTTTGGTTTTGGATAGAGTAGAAAATGTTTAAAAGCCTATGTGATTTATATTTTGCAGACTGCCCTTCTGGGGAGATTTTCCTTACTTTCTGTCTTGAATATGCCACAGGAAGTGAGAGGAAATCCCCCCAAGGTAAGCAAAATTTTCATCTTAATCTTTTGTCCCTACTAGAATATTTCTCCTCACTTTTAGCTCTCGTGACAACTCTGAAATGTAATATCACTTGAACTTGCTGTCTCCATGATAATGGTCACCAGGACAAATAGAGGGGTGCATTTCCCCAGTGGGTGCATGCACCACAATACAGACTTGGCAGAAGATTTTGCCCTTCACTATAGATCATTGGTTCGACCTCATCTGGAGTACGCGGTCCAGTTCTGGTCACCAGTACTAAGAAAAGATGTCCTTGAGTTGGAAAAAGTCCAGCGAAGGGCAACCAAACTAATTAGGGGTATGGAGGACCAGAGCTACGAGACGAGGCTACTAAATTTAAAGATGTTCACATTAGAGGTGAGGAGATTAAGGGGGGATATGATTTCCATGTACAAAATGTTTAATGGTGGTAGCAACATTAGCGATAAACTGTTTAAAATTAACTCCGTTACAAAAACTAGAGGCCATCACCTAAAATTGGTGGAAAAAAAATTCCAGCACAAGGGGCGAAGGGGGTTCTTCACAGTAAGATCAGTTAGGGTCTGGAACTCACTGCCACAGGCGGTGATTTCAGCAAATAATGTGGAATTGTTCAAGAAACTTTTGGACGATTTCTTAAGGGACCGTAATATACAGGGGTACAGGTACTCCTAGAATGAGATACTAATAGGTTGGACTTGATGGACTAATGTCTTTATTCAACCTCAAATACTATGTAACTATGTAACTATCCAAAACCTAAAACATACTTGTGCTTGTATTTGTAGGTGGAGTAGCCAGACTACATGTTTATTGTAGTAGTTGCTTGATAGAAATATTTTCATACATTTTGCTTCCTTTTGTGGGTTTCTTTTAACAGAAAAGAACTGACTTCTGCTGGGGGTGTGACAAAATTTGAAATTCATACAGTGGCACAATTTGATAACCACAATTCACAGGTATGGCGAGTAAGCTGGAACATAACTGGCACAGTTTTGGCATCGTCGGGTGATGATGGAACTGTTCGGTTATGGAAAGGTATGGAAAGTTTTATTCTTAATGAAAATGTGGGCTTATTCAACATAGCATAATGCAGTAACCAACAGCAATCAGTCAGGGTACATGTCCAATTGGATTGTTAGAGTAAAAGTCTGGTTGGTATGGGTTACTATTATAGGTTATGGTAGCATCATTTTCATTAGTTTAGGATGTTGGGGTGCGATATTCATGCAATACTTTATAACACTTGTTGTTTGACTAAATCTCATCCTTTGGTGTTTTCTTTGCTCACTTCTATAGTGTTTTCATGTATTGTTGTGTAACTAAAGCCATTTCTCTGCAGTAGGTGACTCTGGGTACATAAAATTAAATAGATGGGATTTTTTAAAAGAACAATTACTAATGATAAAAAGGTATTTTATTCCTGCATATAACAAAATCACAGAAGAACAATTAAGTGGTTCAATTCTATTTGCATGAAGTGTACGCAACAGAAGTCATATGATACATATCCACTCTTCGTAAACTATTGTTCAGTTAGTTATATCGTAACAATCATGGGTAGTAGAAATGAGTAACATATCCTTAGTCAACAGAAACCGATTCATGCAGTAGAATGAGGATGGCTTAACTCTACGCTTTTCTCAGATCTGCTCATTTAGCACCCTAAAGTCTTATGTACGAATATATTTTATATGTCATAATGGGATGTGTGACTTTGAACTCTCCATTACATACAGTTTTCCATGTGGAAGCACATTCTCGCCTGGGGAGGTGAAATTAATGCTTTACATGTGTTGGGTAACTTTGCAACAGAAAAAATTGAGAAACTGCACTCTTCCCAGCTGGTCTCAACTCCCTCTCAATTGCCAACAAATGACCTCCAACTCTGCATGATCTCTATCTCCTGATTAAAGTATATCAGGGCTAGGAAACCTCAGCACTCCAGCTATTGTGGAACTATAAGTCTCATGAGGCATTGCAAGACTGACCGTCACAGCCATGATTCCCAGATGCATTATGGGGGTTGTAGTTTCAACACAACTGCAGTTATGAGGTTTCCATTAATTTGCTCACCCCTGTTATAACAGTAACCTGAACGACCTTAGCAAATGTATAAAGCCCTTTCTTCTGAATTTGTTTTAGCCAACTATATGGATAACTGGAAATGCACTGGTGTTCTAAAAGGTGATGGGAACCCTGTAAATTCCAACCAGCAAGGATTCCTTGTTTCTTCTTTTGGATCCACCAATCAGAGTTTACCTAATTCTATTAATGGCTCATCTTCTAGCAGGTAAGTGATGCATTCTTAGGTGCGCTCTAACACTGAAAGTGCAAGTAAGTTGTCATATCTGGCATGTTGGTGTTAATTGTATGTGATTTTTAAATATAAGCATGTTTCTCAAACACTGATAAAGTACCGGTATCTGTCTATTGATGTATAATAAGAATAATTAAAGTAAAACTCAAGCCAAAACACTTCAAGCTATGCATACAGTAGGAAGGGTTGGGACCTCTGTCATTTATTGCAGGTTTTGTCATCATTCGGCAAGTTCACTGAGCGATGGACATTTAGAGTTGTCACCAGAACAGGAGTAGAGGAACATTTTTGCGATGGAGACACCTGTTCTGCTGACAACTTTCAAAGGTGAGATCTTACTTCTCGTGTCTTTAAAACAAAAAGTAAGGAAAACATCCTCTTAATTGGGATGCAGGTAAGAGCAAAATCTTGACAGGGACTCCAGTCCTTCCAAAATGTAATGTAAATATTTGGCTGGAGTTCTACTGCAAGGATTTTTTTTTTTTTATGTGTCAGTAAAATTTTACAATAACTTTAAAATAGAACCACAATATAATACAGATGAGCTAGAGTGTATAGGCATGTTTGGACTAGCCGCATGCAGACATGATCAGAATGCAGACTAATGTCTGTTGTGTGCCAGCAGTGGGGGGGGGGGGGGGGGTGGGGGGGGGGGGGGGGGGGGGGGGGGGGGGGGTTGAGGGTGTGTATGTGCCTTGTGTTACAATGCAAGGCACAATTTACCCTTTTTTTTTAACTTTATTGAAATGTCACTGACATTTCTTTCATTCCTATGGAGAGCTCCACTGTGAAAATGGACAGTGACTTCCAGTGCGTTGTGGAAAGATGCAGCATGTCTGCATTTTTCTGCAACGCACCTGAAGGCAGTGCAAACGGGAAGCCTACAAAACAATTGTTTTCTGTGTGCCCTTGCAGTGAGTGGCGACAGAAAAACAGACAGGTCCTTAATGTTCTTGTTGGTGAATACAGCAATGATGTTAATTCAGTGATCAAACTGTGAGCTGCAGATAATTCATGTGAACCCCAGCCACTGGTTTTTAATTTCTAATTATTTATTTTAGAGCCTCACATTTTTATTTTTTTTTACTGTTATCTGTGGCACTGTTTAGGAGATTTTCTCTCTCTCTTCCTGTTCTGGTGACAACATTGTCATTTGGAGAAATAGTATAGTGATGGGAAATCTCTAACGTTTACACATGCACAAAAATAAATAAAACAAAGTCTTATGTAGGTTCCAACCTTCTTCCGCTGCACTAAAAAGGATATTTTGCATCGGTAGTGTCTGCTGGAGAGATTTTATTTTGCCGTGATAATTTTGTCCCTGGGACAAAAAGTGAGAAGAAATTATACCCAGTGAGGATACTGTCGTTGTGCTCAGACAGTTCCACCAATTCTAAATATTTCAGATGTTGGGAGTCGGATTAGAACTTTTCAGACCTACAAATCTTCAAACGGATAATCAGTGTGCACATTTCTCACTAAGCTAATCAAGTCCTATCACATGTGAGAGATCCAGCAAGACCAGAGCATTTCCCTTTTTATACCTGTATACTCATTTCTCAAACAAGAGAACCACACAGAGCAAAATTAAGAAGGATCTGCTGCTTTATTGTAAATGAATGTCGGCATTACAATTAACCAGCTTTTTTGTGAACTGGTGCCAAAAATTAAACTGCATATTCAAAATGAGGTCTTAAACTATTTTTACAGCCAACATGTTTTTTAAACTTTTGGATAGAGTAAGGGAGGGTCAAAACTTGTAGATTTTATTTTTTTCCTATACAGTGGTACCTCTGTTCACCAACTTAATTCGTTCCACGATTCTAGTCGTGAACCGAATTAGTCGCAAACCGACTCAAATTGTGATCAGACCGCGATCTCGACTAGAGGAAGCCACGACCATGTGTCAGAGCAGGAAAGATAGGTGCGGTTTTGTTCGTCACCCGATGCGGAGTTTGCGAACGGAAGCAAACTTTTGCCGAACTTTCTGTTCGCCAACCGAATTGTTCGCGAACAGAAGCGTTCGTGAACCGAGGTACCACTGTATACATTATATTTTGTTTTGTTTTTTTGCTACCTGTGTCAGGATATCTTAATATCTTGCTAAAGTTGTCATGGGAGCTAGCATCTGTCTCTATTCCTGAGCTAGTGGCAGGCAGTTAATGGATGAGATGAATCTCCCCACTGGGGACGGACAGCAATACAATCCTGACAGGGGTTCTAAGGCCTCACCGCTTTATCCAAATGCTCTATCCATTTGCTTTTAGTTATACATTTAGATTAGGTGGCTCCCACTCTTATCTGGGATTACCAGTGTTGCAAGTTGTACATAAAGCTGCTTTCTAACAATCAGTGACATGTTGGTTAACTGGAAAACCTCTCCATTAGCTCGGGCCTGGACCAAACCTGGTCTCTATGGCAAGGTAGAACTGCAGCTTGACAATATAATACAAACTTTGTGCAAAACATGATGTACAGCAAGCTAGCTTTTAAATAGTGCTACCAATATGATGCTACATCTTCCCCAATACTGTACAAGAAGGCATATTGAACTACAGCTTCCAGCACTAAGACCAGCAAATAAAACAGTTACTGCAACAGTACTGCATCAGACCTGGCACATCCAATGGAAATACAGAAGCTGCAGTTGAGAAACAATGCATGCTGAATTTGTATGCAGCTCGCTGCATGCACAGTGTACTGCCTTGCAGAGATCTGAATGGAGTGTCTAGGTTGACTACATGTAAAGTTGAAGAAAAATATATAAACCGTGATGGCTCAGTGTGCAATACAACAAACACTGCTGGAGCTGCCACAACGCACTAGGCTGCCCACCCAAACACAGCAGATTAGCTAGTGAATGGACTCTAAAGGAATAGCTTACCCATTCAGGGCCTGTGTGTCCAGGGGTGTCACTGGTTTATATTTTGCCAGTTAGTAAGACCGCACAGGATTTAATTTGTATTTTCTTTCTTGCAGTTGATGAATTGTTACTTAATATAGCCATATTAGCATACACTATAAATGTTTGTGCAGCACACATAATTGTCACCCAGCTGCTCACACATAACCTTGTATACATTTCTCCAAGCCTGAATTACTATGACAAAACCCTAAATGAAAGAATCTTGAGGTTTTTATGAGTTAGGCTCTATATTGCAATTTATACTATATTAATATGCCCCTCAATTTTATTATCTGTGGTAATTGCTTCATTAAATGTATTTTGAGTGCCTCTAATTTTATGATGATAACCAAAATTTAGCAACTTCTCACAGCATTTGTGTATTATTTTTTTAATTTATTAAACATAACTACAATGCATTTGTTGTATATTATAAAATGAGCCAAGGATTATAATAAAGCTGAACTCTAATTTTCATACATCTTAATCGTGTGGTTCCATAACTGCCTAAATTGCTGGAATTAATTCTGTCTGTGGGTTATAATATGTGCCAATATTATTTTAATCAGGCAGCCAGAAGCTCCAAGGACTAAAGCGGGGGCCCAATCTAATCTCATTTTTAGTGGTCCTGTTTACTAAAACTTGGTCCTAACAAAGACAAAAATGACAGTAACCACAGAGTTTTCTTCTTTCATGCAATTCCTCCTCCGATTTCGTTAAATGGTCAAGAGCAGCTGTTGTTAAAGGAGAACTATGGGGTTAGGGCTTTTCCCCATAGTTCTCCCCCTAGGGTAATGGGAGGACACAAACTAGTGTCCTCCCGTCACCCTAAGCTCAGTATAACCCTAAGCTCACCCGTCACCCAAAGCTCGCGGTGTACTGAGACGCTGAAGCGGATCCCGACAATAAGAGCCAGCTGTACCCTCCCCCGTCTGATCCGCCAGTTAGCGCTAGCGGGGAGGGTGGGAATCCAGCCCCTCCTCTGTCACGGCAGAGAGCTGTGACAGGATCGAGAGGTGAGCGAACGCCGGTATCTGTTCGCTCACTTCTCGATCTGCTGAGCCGACCTGTGACAGTCTCATTGTCACAGGTCGGCTAGAACTATAAGGTGAGTGAAAAGCACTCGCCTCATAGTTCTCCTTTTTAAATTGTTTAAAGACTGGACTGTCAGCCGAAAATCTGGGTCTGAACGTGCGAATTGTGGCCGTCAGCGACTAGTCAATGTTAGGGCAGAACGGAGAGTGGTAAGACTGGTACAAGGCAACAGTGCAGTGTCAGATTCCTCGCATCACCTTTCAGCATCTCGTGGAGTCACGAGAGGACCCAACAAAGTCATCTTGTGGAGTCATCTTGTGGCCCAACGAAGTACTGATGGGGTGGTCATAATAATCTGGCCACTCAGTGTATATACATTTTACAGTAAGGGCCCCTCACTTGTAGATTTCTCTCCTAGGTCAAAATGACATACCCCTGCAGTCGGGCCTCTGATGACACCCATGGCATATGAGCATTTTCAGTAGATTGCCCTAAAGCCTCCTGAGATGTGTGATGTAAGCATCCCAGGAGGCTTTCGGGCAATCTACCAGAAATGCTCATACACTGCAGTGTGTCATAAGAGGGTCAGCTGGCCCGATGTGCATGCACCATAGCACGTCATTAGGAGCTAGATGCCAATTGTGTTTGAGCATTTTCAATAGATTGGTCTCCTGGAATGCTGCAAGAACCAGGAACAACCTCCATAGATACAGTACAGTAAGTGCGTTCCCTTTAGGGCCAGAAGTGTTAACTGGCAGAATCACCAGGTGAAATAAAGTCTAAAAAAATGAAACTAATGCAGCCACCACATCTAAGGACTGATGAGCTGCAATATATACATATTTTTTCTTTCTGGGTTTAGATATGCTTCAGTTAACCTGCACTTAAATAACCCCAGGGCAATTTGTTGTCAATGGTCCCAAGCCCTTGGTGTGATTTCCTAGCACCAGGGGGGGCAGAATATATCTTTTACCAAATATAGAAACCTGCCAATGTAATTTTACAGGAAATCATTAATTTCTAAATGAAATGGTTTTTTAAAACAAATTTGGTGTGCCCATTAGAAGTGTTCAGCTTTATTGTCCATTTTTGTTTTTATTACATCTAATCCGTACAAATAAGATGTTTGCTTTTGTTGATAACATTTTATCTGAGTGATGCATTTTTTTTTCACCCTTCTCCGTTTGTATTGTGTTCTTAACAGACCGCACAGCTGATACCAAGCTAACCGGAGTAACTTTGCTGTTTTGCTGCTTGTTGCATGTACGCTGGATTGGATGCAAAGTTCTTTTTATTACCCTCCCCAGCACAGTTTGAATCATTCCAGGATATGCAGGATGTCTTGTAACTACAGTTAAAAAAAAAAAAATCATTTTGTGTATATGTTTAATATTTTTTTTTTGTTTTGATATAATAAAAAGAAAAAATTTACTTTTTATCTTGTTTCTGTTCTCTAAGCTACATTTCCATTGTTGGAGTAATGGCTTATACATGCCCAGGAGCACAATTCTGTTTAAACTGAGCCTGAAACCTGTGGAAAGTTCTGTTTTTTAGGTTTTTTTTTTTTCAGCAGTATAGTTATTTTTCTGTTTTTAGTCTTTGTTATAATGTAAACATGCATCCTTCACAGAATCTGCTGTTGCAATTCTGACCTTTTTTTAAAAGTCTTGATTGCTTGTTGCCACTCCCAGACAGAAAAGTAACAGAGTTTAAACTATGGTAGATCTTCAGAGAGGCCAATTTCTTTTCATTTCTGTTTGGAGCGGAGATTCTTAAAAAATGTAATTTATTGTTTAATATTAAATGAAACCACACTGTGCAGGAAATATTTACAGAAAAGATATTACAAAACAGACATTAGTAGCACTGAAATAAAAGGGTTTTCACAGTAAAAAATGTTTGTGCAGTTTGTCTGGTTTTAGGTTTAGTGCAGGGTTCAGATTACTTGCAAAATCCAATCTGATGAGCAAGAGTCCAGCCTCTGACTGCAGCAGCTTTTTATTGTCCCTTCAGAGTTTTGCAGATTACTTTTTTTCCCCCCAATCAAAGGGGTGGAAAGTAGGTGTGCGGTACAGCATTTTGTTATGCTCAGCTGACACCCCTCAGCCTTTTGCCACCAGAGCACTGAAGGACACAGCGGAGAGCTTTAGATCTTGATCATTGTGTTATGGCGCCACCTTCAGGAGTAGGACACCTAGGTACAAAACGCACAGCCTAGGGGCAGCCCCTGACGGTGGTCAAACCCTTTAACCACTAGAGGCCGTCCAGTTTCTACCTACTGTCGAGGAGTAAGGACCTAAGCTCCCTGCAGGAAATCTTGGTTCTTGTTACCCTGCAGAGAATTCTTCCTTTTTTTGTTTTTTATATTTTCTTCAGTCTTCAAGACCTTCAGTCAACAGCTGAGCTGGGTGGCATGCTGGATATAGATCCTTGTAGTCCCCCCAGCTCAGCCAGTGAGTTCACGCAGATCCTTAGCTACAGTCATGTGAAGAAAAAAAGTACACCCTCTGAATTCTATGGTTTTATATATCAAGACATAATACAAATCATCTGCTCTTTAGCAGGTCTTAGAATTAGGTAAAGTCAACCTCAGATGAACAACAACACATGACATATTACAGTGTGTCATTATTTATTTTACAGACATAAAATAGAGGAGCCGTGTGTGAAAAACTAAGTACACCTTAATGATTCAATAGCACCAACTTTGGCAGCAATAACTTGGAAGTAATCGTTTGTCTCTCACATCGTTGTGGAAGAATTTTAGCCCACTCTTCTGTACAACTTTGCTTCAGTTAATTGAGGTTTGCGGGCTCTCTTAAGGTCCTGCCACAGCATTTTAATCAGGCTGGGGTCTGGACTTCGACTTTGGACATTGCAATACCTTGTGAGTCTTTTCCTTTTCAGCCATTCTGTTGTAGATTTGCTGGAGTGCTTGGGATCATTATCCTGTTGCGTGAGCCAATTTAGGCCAAGCTTTAGCTGTTGGACAGATGGTCTCACATTTGACTCTAGAATACTTTGGTATAATGAGGAGTTCATGGTCGACACAATGACTGCAAGGTGCCCAGGTCCTTTTGCTGCAAAACAAGCCCAAATTATCATCTCGCCACCACCGTGCTTGACAGTTGGCATGAGGTGTTTATATGCTGTTTGATTTTCACCAAATGTGGCGCTGTGCATTATGGCCAAACATCTACTTTGGCCTTGTCTGTCCAAAGGACATTGTTTTATAAGTCTTGTGGTTTCTTCAAATGCAACTTTGCAAACCTTATTATTGCTACCATGTTATTTTAGAGATGAGAGACTTTCTTCTGGTACTTCTACGTATTGGGCTTTTTTTTTTTCCTGCCTTTTGTGGATATCTCAGGATCTGTATATCTGGAAGAGGTATCCCAAGCTCTGGGTTGTTTTGTCTCCTGGGGGCTGCTCGTTCATCTCCATGTCTTCTTTTGTCATTTTCTCTGGTTGTGTAGGCATCTGTGCAATTTTCTGGTTTCTTGAGTGAGGCTTTGGAGACCTTGGGGTTGTTTCTGTGTTCTGCCTTTATACTGCTTTGTGAGTAACTGAGTTTCCTCTAGCTGTTAGGGGGTTTGTCCATTGTCAGGGGCTGCCTCTAGACTGTGTTACTTTTGTACCTAGTGTCCTACTCCTGAAGGTGGTGCTATAATGAAATGGGCGCAATCTAGAGCTCTCAGCTGAGAAAAGGATTTTTATGGTGAGTACAAAAATCCTATATTTTGTCTCTGAAAACAGACACACTGGAGAGTAGTTGTATTTGTGTTTTTTTGGCACATTATATTGACTCAATGGTTTATCAAACCATATTTCCAGTAAAAATAAGGATAAATGTTATTAAGTGCACACAAACACAATACTTTTTCTTTTTTGTCTTTTCGTTACATTTTTAACAAAAATAGATGACAAACATGTCGAGCTTTAACATTGTGTGTGTGGGAAACGTTGCGATAACATGGTACCCAAAATTGTCTATAAGCAGCATTTTTAAAAGCTTTTTATAGGTCATCAAGTTAGGCCAGCTCATAATTTATTATTTTTTGTAAGATTTACTGGTTTCATACTGTGCTGCCAAAATAGCAAGGCTCACGTGCAGTTTCAACTGTAAAAGCCACTTTTCCCTTATCGCTAATATACTAACCTATACTTGTATACCCCCCAACAACTTCACAGCAAGAGTTGGCTTAGGCTCTGTATTGGATGGCTTCAAAATAAAGCTGATAATGTGTGCAGGAGTGACTAGGATGGATCGTTGGTTGGTCACAGAGCTCTCATTGCCCTTAGCTGCCAACACATAATAGTGTAGTCCACTAACCAGTCAAGGATTAGGGCAGGCAGGAAGCAATCCGAAGTGAAATCTGTATCCAGGCTAGGGTCAGGACAGTAGATAATCACAAGACTAATCTGTAACCAGGTAAGGGTCAGAAACAGATGCTACCTGGAGACAAGGTATGTCCCATTGTACAGTAGTCAGCAAATGCTATCGCAAGCCTAGAGCTCTGGGCTTGTGATGCTCAAACAGGACAACACAGCCCCTAGCAATAGAGATGTCACCCTGCAGCTGGCCAGTGAGAACGATGAGTGGCAGCTGCAGGGTAAGTGACAATAGGAGCATGTTTCATGCTCCTAACATATGCACTGTACTTAAGTGGGAAAGGCAAACTCTATAGGCCCACTCACACATATGCTTGTGTGTAGGTAAGGGGTCTCAAGTGTTTGTAGTATAAATACACCTACGTTGGAACTTGGAATCATGGCATAACATACAACATTAATACAAGACAATACTACAAGTAGCTTGAGCAAGGTAATTGAAAATCATAAATTAGGGGAATTTCTAAGTTTCTGATGATCGGCGGAGTGAAAAAAGAAAGCCACAGCTGACTATAACATGACCTTTTGCCAGAAGGCACCTGGAAGACTGATGTAAGGTTGAAAAAGGCTCTATGGTATGATGAGACCAGAAATTAGATTTTTGGCCACCGGAAAAGCATAAGCTAAATACTGCACATTTAGCATTCTGCCATGTGAATGCTAAACTTCTAAAAGGTCAAACACATGTGAAGGTAGAACAAATAGTGCAAAATACAGGTAATTGCTTGCAGAAAACGAGAAGCAATCTGCAAGAAATCTTGGGAGATAAAAAAAAAAAAAAACTACCAGCAAGAACGAGAACCTAAACAAAGCCAAAATCAGACATTAAAGGGGAACTATGAGGTGAGTGATTTCCACTCATCCTCATAGGTAGAGCCGACCTGTGACAAAGAAGCTATCACAGGTCGGCTCTATTGATTGGTAAGTGAGCAGAAACATGCACCGATCCTCTCACTTCCCGATCATCTCCTTGCAGTGAGCGGTGGCTGTCAGTCACAGCTCCCCGCAGTGATTCCCCCCTCTCTGATCCTCCATCGCTGAGTGGAGGAATGAATGGGGAAGGGGGCAGGTACAGCTGGCTCTGCCTCTAGATCGGCCAGAGCCAGCTGTCACTTGCGCAGCTGGGTGGTCCCAGCTGCGGCGCTCTCAGTATATTGCGGGCTGATAGCCCGTGATATACTGAGCTTTGGGTCACTGGAGGAGTTTAGTATATGTCCTCCCATGACCCTAAAGAGAACTATGGAGAAAAACACTTAACCCTTAGTTCTCTTTTACGAGTGGCTTAAAAACAATGTTAATGTCCCAGGATGGCTTAGTCGAATCTTTTGAGAGTATTTTGTTTCAAATATTTAAGCCTGTCTGCACTGTGCTGGCAAATTTCATTTAATTTGTAAACTAGATGAGCAGGGCTATTTGACCTAACAAAGAGTTAAAAACCTGAAGACATTGTATGATAATGAACTTTTAAAAAAGTGTCCCTCACTTAGTCCCTTATTAGCTCTCAGGCATCTATTAGCATCACTAGCAGCTTAAATCCTATCCTATGTAAAATCCTGCTGCAAAGAAACAGCTAAAAAAGCAAGAAATTATGTGTTCTGCGTTAATGGGAACATATAACAAATATCTTGTGGGGGTTTCTCAAATTTGGCTGCAAAAGTGGAAATACCCTTTAAGGCACTAGGAGAAGGGGTAGGGGGGTATTGAAGTGATTGCTCTTCAGATAATATAAGTGTTCTCTACAATGGATTTTGATGCACATGGTACAATAGAGACTTCAGTGGTGGCTGGTAGTGGAGCACTTCTTGGCAACTATACTACTTAGCTGTCAGGGGACCAAGAAACTTAATGTGCAGGTTTAAAATATAAAAGTTTATTGAAAACCACAATAAACATAAATGCAAAAACAATGGAGAAAGTCCAGGACGTTGTCAGTGCCAAGCCAGAGGTCAGAAGCCACAGTGGGTAGTCAGCCAAACCAGGTCAGGGAACACTGAGTTAAGGATGAACAGAAACAGCCAGAATTAGGAAGCAGGAGATCAGTCA